ATCTCTCAGCCTCTGTGTGTGTGTGTGTGTGTGTGTGTGTGTGTGCATGCGTGCTGTAATCAAAAAAATGACCATATCTGGTCAGAGTAACTAGAAAAAATCACAGGACTTCACTTTGTGTCCTGAGAGTTGCGATGTTATCACATTGAATGAGCTAATTTCTTTCTCTTGTTTTTATTCTTGTAGAGGCTTTTGTTTCACATTTTCAATGAGATGGATCAAGGTCGTCATTACATAAAGCCTCATAGTCCTTTTTGAATTAAACTGGACAAAACAAGCAGTTCAGTGGTTCAGGATATTATTGATTAAGCAATCGAATTAACTCACTGTTCTGCATTCACTTTGGTGGTATTGGTATGTTTCATTAATGGCACCACCTTTGGAGTGATAGGCACCATTACATCACTCTCTCATTTCTTTGACCCAAACTGAGTATGGAAATGAACAATTCCATGAGACATTCCATGAGAATGGTCAATATTTCAATTCTTCTTGGGTATCATTAGAATACATCTCATTCAGAGATGTGCCCCCTCTACCCAGGGATAAAGCTATAATGATATAGGCTTTCTGATTGGTTGGAAAAGACACAAACATACTTCTGACTGGAAGGAGACTATGGATGAGAGGCAAATGAAATGGAAAGGGGATCTTGAAACTCTACTGCGACCTAGTCCCAGAATGTGCTTGTGTTGTCCTCCCTTAGATGGTGAATGATGTGCACTTTGACTTATTTGTGTTGGGAAGAAAGATGAACAACTGGAAGAGGGGTAACTGTGACCACCACTCCTCAGTTCCTCGACAGTATTTTCTCAAAGTAGGATCCATAAGTCATAAAAATCCCCAAATGCAGTTTCCTTTGCCCTGCTTCCAAGTTTTCTAATTAGACCTTGATTGAAGACAAGGATACCCTTCTTTTTTTTAAGTGGTACAAATGATCTTGTATATGATGAATAGCGAGAATCACTACTAAAATGTTTGCAGCAGTGGTCACTGGGGAAAGAATCTCAGTTCCAGTGTACATGACAAGATGAGAAAGTATACATTTCACACAAGCTTTGTACTTGTATCACGAAGCTGTGATTATTAAAGTTTAAGATTATTTTCTTTAAGCAGGGATGGGGAGCAAAAATCATTTCATTTAAAAATAGAGTTATGAGGGTATATAATTCAGACCCATTCCAGCAAGTTTCATTTGCTCTAATTTTTCTGTAATATTAATCATTGTACAGTATTATACCAATGACATCTAACTTCATTGTAACTCAGAATACAGAATGCTCACTCTAATTCTTTCTCTAGTGTGTTATTTTGATGATATAAAAGAAAACAAATAAATTAGAACAGTGGGCCATCAAGATTGCAAGATGCCAAAATACCAAGATATTAGAGAAATGGTTCATGCTAAAACCTATAACCCAGCATGCAAACTGGCAAAAACATTTATCTGCCACAGAATCACTACAGGGAAAATAGTTGCCTTCATTTTTTCTTTAGAAAATTGCTATGTCAAGTGGAGATGACAAAGAATTCTTCCTATAAGTTGACACAAAATGTCTTATTAATTCTAGAAAAGATCATCTAGAATGCCAAGGTTTCTCAAATTCCATGGCAACGTGTCTAGTGGTAGAAAATGTCAACACTCAAATACTTTGGCTTAATCTACTTGATGCAAAATTGGAAGATTGAAATGATAGCAAAGTGTGTGAGAAGCAAAATTTGACTTCCAGTGTAGGAACTTTTGTCAAGTAATTTTGCAAAATACCATTCCCATCTTTTCTTTCCTCGTTGGAGTAGATCATGCTTAGCACAGGAAAAGACTCCGAGAGGAGTGGCAAGTGTGGGGAAGCAAAAGTAAACCAGAAGGGCACACAGCTGTAACTCAGAGACTGCAAAATGAGCAGACACCTGACTCTATGCTTCCGAATCAAACAAGGCCAATTGAGATGAGAAAATTCCCATGTTGGCCCCCTTTTAATCAGTGTCACACCAAAATGATTCAGTTGGAATAGACATTCAACTGAAGAGGAAAAAGAGTAATGGCAATGTTTATGGTTACACTGTTTCTGTCTTTAAAAAACATACCATCCATTTATTTCCAGGAAGATATGTGTGTTCACATAGATGGGAACACATCACAGCATATTTTTAAGATACTTCACTGGGCTGCTCATTACTACATCTTACTGTAATTTTTTTTCCTTAGGAGCAGGAGGAAGAGCTAACAATAATAATGAAATTAACATTTCTTTTTTCCTTTTTGGTTTTTTTATATATTATTCCCTTTTTAATAATAGGTAAGAGGACTCAGAAGACCCATATACATTTAGGAACTGATCTCCCAAGCTCAGCATATTTAGCATTATGGAGTTTCTTAGGAGGCAGCCCAAACCGATGCTCTACACAGGCCAAGCCTCATTCATTTGGCCATACGATACTATTCATTTCTTCATATCAACAACTTATGGCCCTTGTCATAATCTATGCTCAAGATGTCAATTGTATATATTGTTCTGTCTATAATTGCACTTTAAGTTCTGAAAATCTATTTACCTTCAGTAAAACAGGCATAACTACCATGGATACTAGAACCTCGAATCTATAACTCACTTAGAAGTCATTTCCAACGTTGAAGGCCACCTGGAGCATATTTGATAACTCTACTCCAAAGGGGACCTAGAACTTTATATACTTGGTGCCTCCTCAAAGCCAATTATTGACCCAAGCTATATTCCTGTATATGCCAACACCCACACAAATGAACACTCTGTTTTTGTCTTTATTATTTAGATTTTTTACTATTGGGTGGACTCCACTTTACAGCTAGCTCAAAATAAAAGCGTTGTGCTGTTATTTTCAACAAATTTGTGTTACTATATTTGTTCATTATGAATATGCAGAGTATCTGTACAGAAAAGAAAACTCACAACAACAGAGCCTGGAGGACAGTGCCGTGACTGGGGGAGGGAGCATTTAAATTCCTGTTTGAAGACTGTAATAGAAGATGTCAGTTGAATGGTCACTCAGTTCTTTAACTGTTACAAGAATCCCTCTCTATCTTGATACCATTATAGTCAAGAATGAAATTTAAGGAAGTTTGGATTTTAGTCTATTTACTTAGAGCACAGGTTCTTTGGTATTCCTTTCAGTGAGGCAATAGATCACCTGATCAATAAGAGTTTCCTTCCAGAATCTTCAAGACCCATTAAGATCTGAGATTCTTTGTAGTATCTTTTATGATTAGTATGACAGTATTTTCATGTTCCATCAAGAAAACATTGAAAACAATGAAGGTGTAGGCTTTACAAACAAAGATATCTACTTAAGATCTGTTAAAATATTAGTACTTTAAAGAATACCACTCTCGTAAATTACAATTTTCTTGACAACTGAATACCCCAAGAAAACTTCCTTTTTCACTTAAAAATTTAAACTTCATTTGAAACAACAGGACAAAAACTTTGCCTTATTCTATTGCCCACATATGTAGGCAAAAATTACAAGAAGTTAAGAAAGATATTCACATACTAATAGGCAGTAGTAACAGAAACCAATGAAGAACCTCTTAAATAATAAATGTGCCTCGATGAAAGCTTTCAAAAAGAAATAAATCATGGATTTCCCTCCCATAGCCATCATCTGATTGCCTTTATTACCTGTGATACACATACACACGTGCAAACACACACACCCAAAAATTAGGAATGCTTGGCACACGATACTAACATTTTTTTCAGTTACCACTTAAATGCATGAGGAATGCTGGAGAAAAGTTGTCCTTGAACCTTCATTTAGCACAAGTGTACAAGAACTAATGGTAGATTAATAGAATACAAAGTCATACGAATAGGTGGTATAACAGTTTCCTTTGGGCTGTGTCTATACATCAAGGATATGATTTTCAAAGATAGCTTAGAAGGCCAAAATCTTAATGCTTGTGCCCCAGCCACGTACTGGGGGTCATTACAGAAATAATAGAAATGGCACACAACTAAATCCTAGTACGGATACAGTCAAACCCCAGAAACCCAAAAGCAGCCAAATCTGGCTACAAGCAAGTAACAATGTACAGTGTAGTTTAAAATTGTTATGAAAAATTATTAGGGAGTAAGTGAGTGCAAATCCTCAAAACTAAGCAAACAGAAGGCCTATGCATCTTCAATTACAGTGTATTGCTCTTAGTGCCACAACTCACAGAAATCCAGAGAATCTGCCTGAATTATCTAGAATGACCTCACCAATTAAACATGGGCAAGTTAGAACTCTGAATCACTAAAAGAAGGGTGGTTATTAACTCAGAATGGAGAAGACTGAGTGCAGGTCATCTCATAGCTGTGTTTGTGGATGTGAATGTTTGTTTGTTGGCTAGTTCTTAAAGTAGAAAACTCAGCAGTACAATGGAGTCTGAGGATAATAATTTTGAAACAAGAAAGACAATTTGTTGATGATGAGGCCTATTCAACATTAGAAAGTGTTGCCAAGAAAGGCTGGGAAATCTGCCAAGGAGGGTTTTAAGAAAGAGGCCGAGGCTCATGTGTCTAAAGGGCTTGTAGACAGGCTGCTGGCAGCAGGGTCTGATCCCTTCATCTGTTTAGGCCTAGGTCATGTGCATCGTGTGTATGTACAGACATATTGTGCTTGTGCCCTGCACAAATGCTCATGCATACAGTCAATATAAACTGGCACATAGTGATTTAAGTGAAAAATCATATAAATCTACCATTCCCCCTTCACCCCAAAAACCAAAGAAAAGGGAAATTTTAAAAATCTTTAACAAATGCCACCGGGCCAGATCTCTTTCTACAGCCTGTCCTTGTCCAAAGGAAGGAGGTAGAAAATGGAAGGAAAAAAATACCCGGTTTGAGCTAGATGACTCTCAAAGCCTGTCAGCTACTCATGGGTAGCTGGTATTCTTTGTATGTAAGATACTCAGCACGTGGGACAAAATTGATAAAAAAAAAAAAAAAAACCCAAACAGCAAAAGAGTTATCTTATGTTTTCACACCTGGAAAGAAATCTACCCTGTGGATTTGTGTGTTAAGGTGAACTAGGTAAGTAGGCAGTCCCGTATCAATGGACTATTGTGTTCTAACAAATGCGTATCGTTAGCTGTTATTTTTTTCTTTAAAATATGGATTTCTTTTAGGAGGTTTATTTCAAAATGGTGAATCACTTTCTTTTTCCTCCCACCCCCAGCCCTCCCTTATAAATGATACTTTCGTAAAAGTTCAGATTGCCAAGGGTGTTTTCTCTCAGGGAACCGATCTGGAATTTTGATCTTTAGGAAATCCTGAATACATTTCTCTAGCTCTTCCTCAATAGAAAGCTTTTCCTTAACAGCTTTTTTTTTGCTGCTCATGTTCGACTCCCTGGAGCCTGAAGTCAGAGTCCGGAGCAGGTCACTTTTCCGTCTCATCTCTGATTGTTGGATCAGCTGCACTGGGCCTTTCTTAATGGGACGGTCCAGAGTCTGGATGTTGGTCTGGCGTGTGACAGGCCCGCAGATGACAGTCTCCTGGGGAGAGCTGGCCTCTGACTGGCTGTCGCAGCTAGAAGTGGAGAGGTCGTTGCAGGATGTGCCACTCTCCCCTTTGTCACCCTTGCCATTCTTGCAGCAGCAATCACAGTGAGAGGAGGACCACCGGGCAGGCTCACCTGCAAGGGAAACACAGACCCCGAAAATTAATGCCAGCAGTCAGGAGGAGCAGCAGCAGCACAGATCAAGCAACAATATTTTAAGAAGTGAGGAGAGACACTGGTGAACTGCAACAGCAGTACCCAGGAGCTGTAGACTGAGGGAAGCAGATTCCTAATAAAGTGCCATGTATACATTATAGTATAAAATCATGCTTAAGTCCACCTGCACTAGTCAGTGAGCCAGAGGCAGGAACGAGCCCAGTTAGCCCATTTATCAACCTTGCCATCTGACAGATCTCATAAATTTTTAAAACTTTTGTTCTATCAGCAGTGAAATGAAGATAATTTTTTTAGTACCTAGAGTTACAGGGATGATTTAGGTGAGCCAAGAGGAATGGAGTGTGTGGCAGACAGTAATCACTCAAAAAATGCTTACCAAGGGGGAAATGGGGAAAATTGGAGTACTTTAACTGGAGAGGGAGGAGGAAGAGTTAAACGGGGAAGAGAGATAACACTAAGTGGTGCAAAAAACAGGAGGAAATTACTAATTCAAAAGCATACTGAAAAATACACATACAATATATATGTGAGTGCATGTATATAGCTGAAGTTTATATAACAAGAAACACAGTGCCAAGTGGGAAAAACTGCCCTTTGAATTGTTGGACAAGGTAGTTCAAGGGACTCACAAAATAACACAGGCTATTTCCAGAACACCTGATTGCCTCCCAGAACTTGAAGGTAAGACCTTATTGCTGAAGACAGAACATACTTCAAGACTGGGATCAATCAAGCTGGAGCTGACCTGGAAGCTTCTTCCCTGAAGACGAGCTCTCATGGTATCAGAGGATACAATGCAAGCTGCTGAGGGAGAAAACCAATCAGTGGTCCTACCCAGCTATAAAACCTAATCACTACAATGACTGGCACAGCAAACTACCTCTACTGGTGCAGCACTAGCACTTTTAACTTGGGGGTAATCAACAGCTACCTAATTGGACTTAAGGCCACTCAATGGGAGGAAACTCATGTGTGTACTGTAAATATAGCCAAATACATATGACTGAAGAGGTCAGAGATCCTAGAGAAAAACCTACAGTATTTCACATCCCTAGACAAATGTAATTTCCTACTGTATGCATCCTTATATTTACAGACAAATATGCCATTCACCATTCATCAAAGATGTTTCTTTATGCAACAGATGGAGACTATTAGAGTTCCAGAACTGGTCAAACACAGAGAATAAGTGTTTGTGAGATGCTCAGCCCTAAGTGATGCATCTATAATGCAAACTTTTACCTAAGGCTCAGGAAACAGCAGAACAGGGAACATAGAGAATATTAATGATCTTTCAACTCTCACCAATGAAACTTCATCATGCAACAGATGAAGATTAACATAGAAAGCTACAATTGGCTAAAATGTAAAGAATTTGAGACTGCAGAGTTACTGTCTGTGGACTGGACTGAAACTATATAGGCTGTCCAGGCTCCAGTAAATAGACTTACACTGAGGGACATTTGAAGATAGAAACTTGACTCAATTGACCTTAACATTCATGACAGAATGGGGTGGGGAGGGTGCTATGGGGGTGCAAATAGGGGAGGGGTTCTAAATATGATCATGATATATTGTCTAAAATGCACAACAATTCAATAAAAATAAATAAATAAATAAAAATAAAATATTTTAAATGCTTGTTAGTTTTACCATTGACAAAGCAAAACTAATATAATAGCATTGAGGCATCGCAGGAGGGAGGCAGAATGCACTGACTGGGAAAGCAAGGCTCTGGCTGGCCCTATCACCCCACTGGTCTTCACGATCATCTATAGTTATGCTTATAGCTTACACACACAGAAACACTAAGACTCCAAGGAGCTTAAGAAACTTGCCATAGTTTGAATAATTTGTTAGTGGAAGAGCTAGTATTTGAATACAGATCTCTCAAATGTAATAACCCAGTCAATTAACCATTTGTAATTGCCTGTCTACAAAATTCCTGCTTCTTCAAAACACTGTTCAAGCTTGAACTTCTCTCTAAAGTCCCTGCATATCCTCTGAAATTTTTGCCACTCCCCCCCTGAGATATGGCTATATTTTTTAAGTTCCTTCACTATTGCACACAACACATTTTATTATCATTTTCTAACTTACGCATCTCGGCTACTAGATCATGAACTCCCTAACATAGATAGACATGGTAAAGTGTTCAGCACTATAGTTCTAGAAAATTGCCCAAGGCACAGCAAAAAAATCAATAAATGACTGCATCCTAATAATAACTTCTAAGTACCTGGATCTAGCCATGCCTGAAGCTAGTCTTGTCATGGACTTGTCAGCTATGTGATTCACTAATTCCCTTTTATTTTTAAGCCAGCATGAGATTTTCTCTCCTCATTCCCTTAAGTCTTGATTTATAAAATTGCATTCAGCAATTTGGAGACAGCAATTTTTCAGGTACATAGTTGATGGCTCTGTGTACTAGAAAAATTCACAACCACAGCACCAAAAGAACCTTCTAAGATGTTATGGTCACTAGCCTTCCAAACTCCGATGAGCTCCAACCCTCCTGGAGTCACAGTTCTTACTAATCATACATTACAGGTGGGCACTTCAGTTCAATGAAGCCATGAAATATAAAAGAAAACCAATTCCCTTTATGATACCAATATTGAAAACATAGATAATGTGATATTTTATATGTTTTAAACATACCCAGTTTTGATTATATTATGTCTCATTCTCATAAATAATAGGAATAATTATAACAAGAATACACTTTAGTGCTATTTAATGTCTGTATTTTACAATATAAAATATTTTAACACCTAGTAACTTGCCATGAGACTTTCTCCCCCAAGAAGTGATTTTTTTTCTTTAGTTCAGAACCCCAGTACATCTAACATTTATCTACTCTCTCACGCCACTTTCTAACACATGATTAATTAAATGCAATAATCCAATTACCCAAAAGGAATCACAATAGCAGTAATGCCCTAGTTATCTCAGGCTATTACAAAGAAATATCTTCTAAGCAACAGAGAAACTCTTCAATATGCACCACCGATGGAAAAGGCCTTTGGTCTGCCAGTGGATATTGAGAGGATCATTTTGAATCTCCAGTTTGCAGAATCTTCTTGGGCAGCCTGACAACCAGCCATTCTTCCAGCAATATGACTCAATTGGGGAATAGTTCCAATGAATTGGACTAAAGAAAAGTAATCACATCAGACCAGACCTGATCTAATTTGATTCTGTGGGGTAAAGCTTAGATATTAAATTTAGCATTGAAAAAAAGAAGAGAAAAAAGAAAGAGGAGAAGGAGGGAAAATATAGAAAAGAGAAAGAAAATGGATATACATATTTCTGGAACATGCTTGTCTATTACTTTAAAGCTATAATAACAAAATATTTTGGCCATAAACCCTACTGAGCCAGAAGAAATGTGTCTTCTTATCCAAGGCTTATCTTCCCCCAAGGAAGTCACTCCAGTCACCAGATCCGCCCCTCAAAAGCTCAAGTCTTCTAGAAAAGTCATTTTATCAACATTCATATGTAATGGATCTCTGCACATTCATGTGGAACACTGCCTGTAACCTTCCACCACATACCAAGTCATAGACCCACCACTAATGAGCCTGTCCTCCTTGAGCCGCTGCAGTGATCATGTGCTTAAATGTCAGCTGTGATCCTCCAGTTTCTAGGCAAATAGAAATACTTCTTCCTACTTACTCTGGGCACTATCTCTCTGACAAGGAAATTTAACAGTGTAATTTTAGTGTAGTCTGTCCCACTGCTACACATTTCAATATTTCATCAGAACATTTGAATGTTTCCATTTGGGAGACAGAATTCATAAGATGGAATTTTAAGGTCTATATATTATTTCAAATCAAGGAAGATGGTGGGATTAATAAAGTCCTGCCTGAGTACTGTATGAAAAGGCATTATGAAATATGAAAAATAATCATGCTGAGCAGAGAAGCACACCATCTCCTTCTTAGAAGTGTCCTTTGTCTGACTACACTCCTCCCAAGAACCTGCCTGAAGCAGAGGTATGAACCCAGAACTGAAATGGCTCCAAGTACCAGGTCTTTTGCCCTTGCAGTGTCTCTGAGGCATGGTCGTGAGCTCTAGGAAGTCTGAAGAGATCTATGCAAGGTGTTCTAGGATCTCCTCATTTATAGCGAACAGCAACCTCCAAATATTCTTGTTTTTCAGATTAAAATTTGTGAGATTTCAATAACTATTGGAATCTCTCTCTTCAGTTAGCAAGAAAATGGGCTACAATTGATTAGCCAGATGTGGAGAGGAAATAATTTCATTCAAACAAAAGTCTGGTTCACTGGCATACATATAGAAAAAGAAGATCTATGTTGTCTTTGGTTTGGGGTTACTAATTAGTTGCTAGACATAAAGCCTGATAATACCACTTAATTTTTTAATAAGACATTTCTGAACTTGAGGACTATTATGATGAGTTTGGTGTCTGGCATTTAATAGATGTTTGATAAATGCTCAATGAATGAACAAATGCTCTATAAAACATACTTTCAGTTGTTTCAATTTGAAAACGTGGCAGAACAGCTCTCCTGCTCTAGCATCAGGATCCACCATTTGACAGCTGTGAGACTTTGGATAAATTATTTTAGCTCTTTGAGATTCATCTGAAAAAGAATCCAAGTAATAGATTCTTCTTCACAGATGTTTGAAGAAAATTAAATGAAATACTTGATGTATAAAGAATGTTTCACAGTCTGCAGTACACACTATATATTCTATTCAAATATCTTAACTATACTATAAGCCAGACCCTATTCTGCACAAACAATCAAATGAGGAGTTTGACAGATCTGATGTTAACGGTAATATTGATGGTATAGTGTACAATATTTAGTGGTGGCTTGAGTATCATGTCAGGAAAGACACTATAGCTGGACACATCAGTAAAATGTATACTGAATATTTGTTAATGCCTGAATTGGCATAGGAGTGGAGAAAATCACAAGCAA